CAGTCTGCCCGAGCTTCCTCAAAATAGGTCTGGACCCGTGACTTGAGCGACTCATACTGCCAGATGGCGGCGGATCCGAAGGCAGAGCCTGTGAACTGGGAGAGATTGGATAAAGGAACTGGCTTGTCTTAGAAATAGTGTGACCAGCAGAAGCAGAGAGGTGATTGCCCCCCTGTGCTCAGCACTGGTGGGGCCACACCTGGAGCGTTGTGTCCAGTTTTGGGCACCTCAACTCCAGACAGATCTCGAGGTGCTGGAGCAAGGACAGAGGAGGGCAACAAAGCTGGTGAAGGGCCTACAGAATAAATCTTATGAACAATGCTTGAAGGAGCTGGGAATGTTTAGTTTGAGAAAGAGGAGGCTGAGGGGAGACCTCATCAGTCTCTACAACTACCTGGAAGGTCACTGTAGAGAGGTTGGTGCTGGTCTCTTCTCACACGTAATTAGTGACAGAACAAGAGGGAAGGGCTTCAAGCTGCAACAGGGCAGGTTTAGACTGAACATTAGGAAAAATATTTTCACAGTAAGAGTGGTTAGGAATAGGAATAGGCTGCCCAGAGAGGTGGTTGAGTCACCGTCCCTGGATGTGGTGTTGGTGGAGATGGTTTAGGGGAGAACTTTGTAGAGTAGGGATGATGGTTGGACTTGGTGATCCCAAGGGGCGTTTCCAACCTGAACAGTTCTATGATTCTAAGACACAGCACAGGTTGCCCAGAGAACCTGGATTCCCCCTCCCTGGAAGGGCAGGTTGGATGGGGCTTGGAGCACCCGGGGCTGGGTGCTGGGACTGGGTGACCTTTAAGGCCTTTTCCAGCCCAAACCGTTCTGTGATCCTGTGGAAGCTACAACGAACACAAGTTAGGAAAATTGGACCTGAAAAGACACCACGACATGCAAGCTACAGCATATCAGGAGGAAGATAAAAACTGCTCAACACACTCTGGCTAAAGATTTACAGAAGGAGAAAAATCCACTTAAGCCACTTGGAGTATGCTCTTCATGGAATTACTGCATGGCTTCAGAGCAAAGAAGTGTAACTTCTGAGGGCAGCAACTGAAAGCAGATCAGTCCCAAAAACAGAAGCAAGGAGGATGCACTTTTGAGATCACTGAGATATTTCTCCCTTCCCTACTCCTATTCCTTTCAGTGCTAAAACCAAGCAAACCCATGGCATGTCCAGTGGCAAGATCTAGAAAAGACAGGGAGATTCTGCCCAGTGGGGCAACTGTTGCAAGGCCAAGAAAGAGGTGTGTGCCCACTGCCAGGACCTGCAGGAGTACAAATGCAGTGCCAGTTGTTTTTTCTGCAGCTGAATCAGTCCTTGACATAACTACTGTAGGTTCAGCACTTAAAGTGGGTCCAAAAACACGCAGCCAAGTCAGCACAAGATGAAACACGTAGCTGGTACCGTGGCAAGCACAAGATGCAGATGTCACTGACCCATAGATTTCAGGAATTTCTCTTCCCCTCCTGCGCGTCCCAGGCCTCCCTGCCCGCGGTGCTGGGTGCCTGGAATTAGGGACTGTAATGCATTCCATGTATTATTTTCTCTGGAAGCCTTCTGGGGCAGACAGGACCTGGCACGTAGCCCAGGGCCCAGCCCGCAGCAGCCCGGATGCTGCCGCTCAGACCTGCCCTGGGCCCCCGTGTGGCTGCATGTTGCCTCTGCAGTTTCCCTCGCCTCCCCTCAGCCCCGCTTCGCCTCACCGAGCTGCTCCAGCAAGGGGCTGCGTGTGGCTGGCCGGGCTTGAGGCAGCAGCTCCCGCCCCTGAGAGGCCTGGTGATGTTAAATGGACCCTCATGATGTTAAATGGACAAAGAAATAGGTATGTTTTCTTTGAAAAGAACTTGTAGTTGGTAAGTTTTGAAAAGTCGCACACACATCTCTGATTATCTACACGGCTGTGGAGATATTAATGGGATAACCAAGCAGTGTACATGCCAGTCATGCCTAGCCCTCCAGAGCTCGGAGTGCAGAGTTGCCAAAATCACACTAAATAAACAGTGTTTTAACTTGGAGGTGCATAGGTAGGAGAAGAGGCAGCAGCCACATGTTGCAGTAGGGAAGGTTCTCTGTGAGGAGCACACTACAGGGGAGAGAGGTTGTGCTGGTTCTGGCCCTGGAGGCCATTCCTGGGGCTGGAGGAGACCTGGGCTTCCTGACCCAACGTTCAAGCTGTGCTTTAGCTGGACGTTGGTGACAAGACAGTCCCTTCCTACCCAAATTATTAGATTCTGTAGTTCATTGTGTGAAGTTTAACAGCAAGATGAGAATAATCTGTATATTTTAATTGCAAATGGCTATAAACCTGATGAGACTATTATTGAGCTACAGTAACTTCAGGAGCACAGTTACAAAGTGAAATCATTTGGAAGTGAGGAGAAAATTCTTCGACATTGTTCCTCTTTTATTTTTATTTTTATTGCAAGCAGTGAAAGAGTTTCCACCTCTCAACTCAAGCCCAGACTCACCTGAGGAAACCTCTGTAGGCTTGCAGTGGGAGACTGCTCTAAGTGGTTTAATACTGTCTGCATTTTATCTCTGCACTGGTGGCCATGGGTCAGCCTCAGCGTTTGCTTGATCTAAGAAATGATGAGCAGGTTCAAAGCCATGTTTTGCTGGTGTTAAAATGTATACATATGTAAATGAAACCGGTGTTGTTATCAGTGCTTTGTTTGGAAAATGAAAAAGGGGTTTTAAACTTCCCAGTTTAGACACTTTTGTCACTTTTTTTACTTCCAGAGACCATATTAGGACTTAAATGTTTTCCTTTGTTAACCTTTCCTGTCCTGTGTTCAAACCACATGTATTTTGGCTGTGCTGTTTTTAATGTTAAGGTGATAATTTTGCTCTGCCAGGGCTTGTTTTTATCATGACAGCTCTTACACAGCCTCAGTGTGCAGTTTGGAAGGGGTGATGCTGTGGGCTTTTTGTATTTATTTGGTTTTAGTTTATGATCATTCTCCTTTGGACAGTTTCAGTATTTTACCCACTGGAAACATGAATTTCAGGAGAGGCTCTAGGGCTTTCTGCTCTGACTTCGAATGGCCTGTTGCTCTGTGACCCACCACTGGGCTCTCAGTCCTCACTGAGACACCAGACCCACTCCCTGGCCCCTAAGGATTGAAATGCCAGCCCTGGATGCTTTACTTTCTAAGTAGTAAAAGTTTTCTTTGCAAGCTGGTCTTAAGAAGGTCTGGAAAACAAACACGTCTCACTAGGTCCGCTGAGCTCATGCTGTCAAAATTTATTCTTGCCACTTCACATGTCATTGTGCCTTGAACTGAAATCTCACCATCTAGATTTAGTCCACACAGACACCTTGCTGTTGAGGAAGACTCACCCACAGAGCGGAGCTCAGGGCTGCTGTAGCACATCCAACAGCTGCATTAATATGGGACGGTTGTCTTGAGGGTGAGAGGACTCTTTAGAGTGGTATTTGTAGCTGTAACATGGTTGAATTTGGGCAAGGGTGGAGGAAGGTTGTTATTCTGTATTTGTGAAATCTAGTTTCCAAGCGTTCTTTACTCTGAAACCTACAATACTTTGAATTATGTATTTTAATGAGAATTTTTTGTTTACAACTTTGACTTATGTTCTAGCCATAGGGAGGGTGGAGAGCATATACTTGGTTTCTTTACTTGCAGGGACAAATTGTGATTGCATGGATTATACTTATGTAACAGGCAGAAATGTTCAGTTGGATTATTAACCTGCCCATGTGGTGTAAAGTCTGCTTGAATTTGTTGCTTAGTTTAAATAATTTATTTCAGCTATTCTCTGTTGATAGTTATGTGTGTTCTGAAGAGGTTACACAATCACTTGAGACACAACTGCTCTCACCTCAATATGTGAGTAAACTTTTATAGTGCAATACACATATTTCTAAGAGTGGAATAAGCTTAATCCTTCTTGCTTTGTGCAAACAAATTCTGAGTGTTGCAGTTTTAAAAATGAATGATTATGGGAGGAGACTTGAATTCTTTATTATTTTGTTTTTATGCATCTAACTTGGAGTACTCCTTCAGTGTGGGTTCTATCCTAAAACAAGTCCTGTCATTAATTGTTGGCCTGTTTTGTATGGAGAGGCATCCTTTCCTGATACCTGTGTCTTGGCAACAAGTATAACAAAAGTTTCAAGTAAAACAATCATTGTGAAAATCGTAGTAATATTTTTCTGTTTGACTTTGGAGTCTGATCGTGCATGGGCAGGTGTAAGTAGCACTTATAAAGCAAATTATATGCCAGTGGTTGCCAGGTTAATCTGAGCATCTTTGGTACTAACTTGATGATTTTGTTGCAATTTTCTTATTTGAGTCATCCATTTCACTGAGGCTTTGCTGTAGCAAAAAGTAATGTCTGAGCCTTTGCGCAACAGTTGGGCAGAGGTTTTGCCCTGGGTCCTTGATTTTTAGAATGGGGGGAAAGGTCCTAAAATGTACAAAACTTTCACTTGTTTGATCAGACTAATTTGATCCTCACAGAGTGCTGACACTCCTGCCTAGTAGCAAGCTAGAAGAAACAGGTTAGAAACATACTGTAAAAGCAAGTATCAACCTTTGCTTTAAATTTGTATTGCTAAGCATTGTAGTTGGGAGAGAAATAATTTGATTGTTTTAATTTTAAAATAATTTTGAGTTAGCAAGCAAGCAAAGAACAGATGAAATGTGGCAGATTTAAATTAGAGAATTCTTCAGTTGGGTCCATCTTTTACTCTGTTGGTTATTTTTATGGTAAACATGTATGGTAATAAAAGTGTTCCTTAGAAAATACGCAGGTGCCATAGAATATTTAAGTATTCCAATTATTTAATGACATTTAGATTCCAGTGCTACAATTCTCTGGTGTGATAAATTATTTTGCAGGTAGACATCTTTTTGATGTTTCATAGAAGTCAGGCTTGTGTAAAGATAACTCCATATGTGTACACACTGTTTCAACAGGTTTCTAGTATCAGAAATTTTGGGAGGCTTCATTGAAAGCAACTTCTGCCTGGAGGATGGCATCATCATCTCTTCAGACCTGTGCCCTGCTGCTGGCTTTAGCAGGCTTCACCATTTCACTTGTCACTACCATGTCTAACAGATGGAAAAGTTTGGACACGGCAACAGTGCTGGTTACTACAGACTGGATTTCTGAAGGTCTTTGGATGGACTGCGCAGTGACTGACTTTGGATCAATCCAGTGCAAGAGATTTCCCTACATGTTGAGTTCAGACCGTAAGTACACATGGCATATGTATATCAAATCCAGGGATGTACTTTTATTTGTTCTTTTCGGATGGCATGTTGGCAGGGTTGGACACCATATGCTGTGGGTGTCACAGAGGGTCTGTTGTAGACAGGATTCATCCTGTAGTACTTGCAGACAAGTTACATGAGTTCTGGTGCTTGTTTGTGCATTGGTGTGAGACAGGGCTTTGTAAGTATTCCAGAACTTGTTTGATACTTTGTGCTAAATCTGTGCATTTGTTCTGGAATTTCTCAGAGGTGACCAGCATAAAATACATGTGTGACTGAAGGTTTTGTGTCTTCTGAGGCAGACCATGCTAGCAGGGTGATTTACTGGCAAGTAGAAAGAGAAGAATTGTCTTTGTAGGGACTGAAAATTCTTTGTTTGGATTTTGAAATATCTTTCTGGAAACACCTTTTCCATAGTAAAGGACTAGGAAGGACTATCACCTAAGTTCTTTCCTCAGACGAATGTAGAAACAGTAACAGTTTAGCCTTTGAAAACAGGTATTTTGTTAAGCTTTCTGTCTTAGAGCTCTGCATGTATTATTTTACAACTTTGAATATTGTGCAGTCACTGATGAGTTACAGAGTGGATTAATTTCTTTAAGACTTCCCTGCTTTATAGATCCCTGATGACTGTCATTGCTGTTTGTCTGGACTCTGGCTAGAGCCAATTTATTCCTGATGCACAGTGCTCAAGCCTTACAAATAGAATGTCTCACAGATTATGAAAGCTTGTTTTTCTTGACACAGACAAGGACTCTGCTGAAGTCAGAGCTGCCTAAGTGTGAGGCAGATCTCTAAAACGTGAGAGTTAACTCTCAAGATTCAGCATATTTGTGGGTCTTCCTCAGGGCCCCGACTTTGTTGGCCTCATGTGCTTTCATAACAATGGTGCTAATGAGGCCAGAATTTGTAGCCTCAAAAGGAGGCTTATCATATCCTTCCACAGAATTTAAAAGCTACTCATTGTGCCAGCAACAATGTCAACTTTTCCTACTTTTCTGGTACCCAGTAGCAAAATGCTCCTCTCCAAGACCTGCTCTGTGTAGATACCAGAATGGCTAAGTTTCATCTGGAAACTTAGATATGATTTCTGGAAATCGGTGTGATGAAATGGGGCCAACAAACCTTCAGTTCTTGTACGGGTGCTTACAGTGGCATGGCTGCTGTGCATTGCCTTGCTTAACAGGAGAAACAGATGTTCCAGCCCTGTTATGGAAACAAACAGCTTCCTTTTTTAGAAAAATACAGTTTCATTACACACAAAATGGAAAGAAAATTAAGAAAATTTTGCCCAGGAACGTAATAGTTCCTGATGAACTAAAGCAGTCAACTCCCAGTGGTTCTCCTCCCTCCTCTCCGTAGCTCCCATCAGTGTAGGAGTTGGGGGGATCCTTGGTTGGCAAGGCTCAGTGAATCATAGAATCCTAGAATAGTTTGGGTTGGAAGAGCTCTTAAAGACCATCTGGCTCCAACCCCCCTGCCATGGGCAGGCACACCTGTTGTTTTCACATCTGCTTAATGCAATAGCTTTCTTAATTAATAAGATACATTACATTTAAAATTACATTTGTAAACATTTTTTTATCCATGGCAGCAGTAAAACAATCTGGAGACACTTCACAGAATCACATAATGTTAGGGACCTGGAAAGATCATCTAGTCCAACCTCCCTGCCAGAGCAGGATCCCCTAGAGCAGGTTACACAGGACCACATCCAGGTGGGTTTTGAATGTTAGTGAAGTTTTCCTCATGTTTACATGGAACTTTCTGTGCTCCAGCTTGCACCCGTTTTCTTGTCCAGTCATTGGATATCTCTAAGGGCTGGCTCCATCATCCTGACACTTGCCCTTTACATAGTCATAAACATTAATGACTGTTTATGTCTCCTCTTCTCCAAGCTAAAGAGACCAGCTCCCTCAGCCTTTCCTCTTAAGGGAGATGGTTCAATCTCTTAATCAGCTTTGTGGCTCCGTGCTGGACTCTTTCAGGCAGTTCCTTGTCCTTCCTGAACTGTTGGGCCCAGAACTGGATACTGTATTAACTCAAGTTCCCACCTAAATTCAACTTTGAAAGTGCTGTCAGCAGACATGATTGCTGAGGTCACCAGGGAAGCACCTGTGCATGGATAAGTTAATTTGAAACTCTCCACAGGGCTTTTAATGGGATGTAGACACACCAGTGTGATACAGTGTGTTCACACTCTGATACAGTGTGTTCCTTTTACTATGCCATCATTTTTCAAATTGTGGCGACTTCTCAGGAGGGACTTCTTTAAAAGTCACCTGAGAAAATAAATTCTTACCACAGACCATCCAGTTTCTTTAAAAGGTTATAAGTACAGAGGTGCATGGGATCACACTGCCTGTACTGCCAAATATATTCTTATTTAAATCAGTAGCAATGATCCTCTTGGCTGCTAAGGGGGCAAAAATGGCACAGTGTCACTGCAGTATCCTCTTGCAGGCAAGCTGAGTCTACCAACCTACAGGATCAGCTCAAAGTGACCAGGGAATTTTGAGGAAAAACCCAGGTAACTGTTACAGACAAGTTGTGACTCTCAATGGCTAATCCTTCTGATAGTCTTTCTGCAAATGCTTTGGATCTCTTACCGTGTTGCGACACAACAGGATTATTTTATGAAGAAACTCTGACTCCATTTCCTGGAGATAAGCACAGGTTATCACTGAAGAGATGGTTAAACCCCCTTTGGATACACAAGCAGTTTAAGGTATTAATATTAGTAGGAAATGTCAAATGAGTCGAAGATTTTGTCTAGTCAAGAGAAGAAACAAGTAGACCAACATACTTGGTAGTAGATTTTTTTAAATACTGAGATATTCTGCTAAACAGGTGCAATGAGCTATTAGGTATTATTATTTCATATAGTTGTTTTCCTTCATAATTTTATTCCTTGAAAAGTAGGTCTGTCACAGCAGCTCATTCATTCCCTTATATTTATTTTATTTCCATGAAACACTTTATGACAATTGTATTCCAGTGTAAGTGGGACTATTTTTAAGACCAAAAGTGTTTAGCTATAGATCAATAGGCTGTAAAATATTAATGGAAACCACTCATCCAGAGACTTAAGCTTTCTGAAAGAAGCTGAAACTACAGTTGCTATGGGTTGCATATGACCACAATTCCAAAAAATGTGCTGAATTTTCTAGCAACAAAATAAAATTCTTGTTCTCAAGCTTCTTTATGCCTAAGTCATCAAGAAAATAACACAGCAAAGCTTTCTGATTTGAGATCTATAATAAATTGCAAACTGTTTTCATCTTGTGTAAATACTAGTTGACTTCAGAGGAGACACAAAAATATTTGTCAATATTACCACTCTTGTTTTGTGGGAATACTAACTGGACTTCCTGGGCAGAGAGTCAGAACAGGCTCATTTTGTCACTTGTCATTACAGAAAGAATTAATATTGTAATTTTTTTTTTTTTAATGTTCATATCTTTATCATGAACTGCTCCCACTTCTTATTGTCATGCACTGTAAGCCTTATCTCTGGGGTTGAGCAAAGAGCAAAGGTAGCCTCATTTTGGAGTGAAACCCAGAGATAAAACAGCAAGGAGGCTTCTGAAAGGCTTCACTTGATTGTAATCTAATTATAGGAGTATTGACCTGTTACTACTCACAAGCATGAGTGCTGCACTGGAAATTGTTGGTCTTCTTTTGTGCTTGGGTGGGTGGGCAGTTATTGGAGCCACTTTGCCAAATAATTACTGGAAAGTCTCCACTGTGCATGGTAGTGTGATCACCTCGTCTACATTGTATGAAAACCTGTGGAAGAGCTGTGCAGAAGACAGCACTGGAGTGTCCAACTGCAAAGAGTTTGACTCTCTGCTGGCACTGCCTGGTATGTGACTTTGTGCACTCTTGTTTGTGTTGCTTAAAAAGGTGTTTGGGGGGAAAAAAGTAGTAAGGCTTTTCTTTTGGTAATCTGGTAGTACTGGAGTATATCCGGCCAAGACCAACTTTGTGGGTTGAAGTAATAAAAATCTTAAGTAGCAGAATGTATCAAGCATGTTAGGAAGGGCTATAAAAGAAGGCAAATGAAGTTGCTTGATCAAGCGTTTAATAGGCATTTAAAATATGATGTAATCTCTTTTCTAGCATCCTGTGAGAGAAATTAATAGGAGCCATTTAATTAACACATGACAGTTCCATGTTTATTTGGAATTATTTATTTTGTATTAGCCTTGTTTTGCAATACTTGCTGGCCAGTGTACTGTAGCTGGAGCTTTTTCAAGTAATAGTCAAGAAATACTATTTGCAGCTAAGAAGCCATAGTGGTTTTTGTGTGTTGAGACTGAAAGCAGTAGATAATATAAGAAATACAAGTGTATGTTATGAGTATATGTTATACAACAAATATACATTATTAATTAACATTTTTCAAGACTTGTTAACTAATATCTTGTTGGATATGTGGTTCAAAATATCAGGACATTTAGGTCTGCTGGCTCCAGTACTCTGTATCAGTCTTGAGCAGATTTAAGGATTGTCCTCAAATGCTCAACTAAGGTGATATTCTATGGATAGTAAGCATGTTTGTAAAGGTAGTTTTTACTGATTTCAAAAAATCAGTGTGTAGGTACTTATCTCAGAATAAAAATACCTTCCTACTTAGTTGAATCTACACTGGGAAGTGGCTCAAATAAATAGGAAAGAGGACACTCCCTAATCTGCAGAATATGTAATATAGGATTAATGGGAATGAGGTATTAAATTCACTTTCTTTCCCAGTCTGAAATGAACTGGCAGTGATGAGCTCTGTTGCTAGTGTAGCAGAGCTCTGGACCTGTCTAACTGTGTCCAGTATTTAGTAAATAATCTGTTCTTTTCATCTGTCAGCATTATCTAGCAATTTGTTTTAAAATGCAAGACTGTATTAGGAAGAACATAACCCTGTATAAACTTCTTAGTCAGCAATAGCAGGGTCATGTCCATTGGACATTATTCTCTGCTTCTGAGAGCATCACAGGGCTCCCATGTGTGCAGGTTGGGCCATGGCCCATAGCTGGTCAGCACCTTGCAGCTGCTGACAAAAAAGCAGGGTTTAAAGAAATGGGGGATGGAGTGGGTGAGAAAAAGAGCATCATGAGTGGATGTGAAAGGAAGGCCAGCAAAGGCTCCTAGAGGAACTGCAGATAGCAACATGGAGTTAGCAGGGAGGAAAAATGGGGCCAGACAGAAAGCAAACTAAGAGGCCAAGCTCTGAAAGTAATTTGTTAAGATTAATCAGTTACGCTGTTGAGAAGATGGCAGCACGTTTGAAGGATATTGGCAGGGGGAAGGGAAAAACAGCTTGCAGAGTTGTAGAGGAAAAAGAAAGTTTTAGAAAGGAGAACTAAAAAATAAGTTAGAAGACACTGAATTGTAGATAAAGTTGAGAGGACAGTTGGGCAAACCAGGAAAGAGGAGTAAAGTGGGGTGGTAGCAGCAAAGACTGATCAAATAGTGAGGCATCCTAGAAGTGTCTGTAGCATTTGCAGGCATGAGCCAAGGCAGACTAAAAATACTCATGGTCATTTTAAGTGCAATTCAGATTGATGAACCTTCACTCAAACTACTGCAGCAGCAGGTGCCAGGAACTGGAGGGGGAGGCAAAAAGGAAGAAAAAACAATGGTGTCTTTGTTACCTCTCCTCAGAAGGACCATAAAGATTTTCCATGAAGGTTTCCTTATTGGCAGCTGGGTTATGTAGTGTAGCTCTGGTTTTTGTTTCTGCATGGGAAATATCAGACTTGGTTCTTTTACACAGATCTAAAGCTTTTTAATTGAGCACAAATCACAATATTTGAACTGAGGATCTTTTTTAAAGCAATACTGGAAGGCTGACTATGTCTAGGTAGCACTGTCTCCCTAGTCACAACTAGATTAAACATTTCATATAAAGCCATTAGTTAGCTGCCAAATACTTTTACTCTTTTTTTTTTTTCCCTTCTTAAGTTTCCATGGTTGCTGTTTTCCAGTTATGAGGTTTTAAAATAATTTCTTACTACTGATTAGTAAAATTACCAAACTTTATATGTTGTTCAGTAAGCTGGTTTTTAAGATGAAGACAACAGAAAGTCAAGCTTTCTAGACTGTGAGGTAAGCACCTCAATTAATGCTCTTGAGGTTATTGTATTGTGGTACAAAGAGGACATGGTATGAAATCTCTTCTGATAAATAATGTAGCCATTGGCTTGAAAGCAGTGAGCCTGAGGGTATCCTTCTGGATCCTAGAAAGATATGGAGAGGCTCATCTAATGCTGCTGGAGTCCCAAAGACCTGAAATGTAAGTTGTTGGCTCCCTGCTATGGGAAATACCTCCTGCCAGGGGGTAAGATTCCTACTTAGCAGCTTTGGGGTTGAGTGTGTTTAACTGTACCTTCTGCAGGCAAAAACCTTAAACTGGTGAAGGTACTTTAAAGGGTCTTTCTTCTTTTATTACTGCCTGCATTTTTTTTTCCCAGATAATTTAGAAATTGATGCTTAACAATACATTAGTAATTGAGCAATGTATCCTTTCATGCTTCTCTGTATTTATCTGAAACCTCCTTATGTTTTTGATAATCCTCAAGCTTGCAGGGTCGATACACTCAACCCACATAAAGCCATACAGCCTGCTGACTCTGAGTGTGAATCTGTCACTGCACCTCCTGGTCACACGTCTTGATTTTTGTTGTCTGGAGAGTTGCAGGCTCACTCTTCTACAGAGCTGGAGCAGGTTACCATGCAGGCCATGGGGGTGATCTGGGAGCATAAGCTTGAAATCTAGTGTCAGGAGTGTGACTGTCCAGACAGCGCAGTTCAGGCCCTTTTGATGCATGGTTAGTAGCCAAGACCTGCCAGCCTGGTGACACTTGACATGTTTATCTCATAGAAAAGGTGCCACTTTAAAGCACCCGAAGTCCCTGGCTGACCACCCTTCTTAGGCTGGGTAGTAAGCTGGTCCTGGTTTTCATGCAACCAATACCAAAGAGTGAAGACCAGAAGCTGAAGTGCTGAAGAACCATCAACATACAAAATTCCCTAATATGCTCACACCAGCTGTAACCTCCTCCACAGGAGTATGTCTTAGGGAGGAGCTGCAGCTCGTGGGGCCACTGGTCTCCTCTTTGTTACCCCAGCTCAGAGTTTGAAGTATACTGCTAATCCTGGCTCTTTCCCATCTCTCACTGAAGTAGCAAAACTGGCTCATTTTTTCCAAGTCCTCCATAGCACCACCTTGTCTAGGACCTGGAGTTCAGAGGTGTCCTGTGTGCTATGGGGTACAGATGTACGGAAGTCAGTGAGACTTGTGAGTAGGAGACTTAATCCTGTTCCTGTACATGACCCTATATATACCTCTAAGTTTTCACAGGACAAGGATGTAAGCTGTGAAGGGCTTGCTACAGTTTTTCAGGGTTTATTAGAGGCCTGGAAGGATTTACTGAACTTAAAAAGTGTAAGTGTAGTTCAACACTGAAATCTGATTGACTTGAAGGCTAAACACTCTAGGGTTTGGATGCTTCTCTGAGACAAATAACAAAGTTGAACAGGATTTACTCATTACTGTTCCTGTTATCTTTGTCACTTCTTCTAGTAACTTTATTTTTCAGCACAAGATTAATTTCTGTATAAATCCTGATTTGTTGTCTCTTCTTGTGTCATAGCTCATGTCCAGGCATGCCGTGCCCTGATGATTTGTTCCATCCTTTTGGGATTCCTGGCTACAGTACTCACGCTGCTTGGTTTGAAGTGCACCAACATTGGGCTGACTGATGAAGAGGCAAAAATGAAGTTTACTGTCACAGGAGGATTCCTGTATATTTTAGGAGGTAGTATCAACACTGAGATTGCTATCAATACTTTGTATTGCTTTCACAGGCAAACTAAATGAACATGTGTTCTTTGCTTAAAGCTGTTACAGCAATCAATTCACCTATGTGCCTTTTAACCTTTCTCTGGCAGGTCTCTGCTCCATGGTGGCTGTGTCCTGGTATGCTGCTATGATAACTGCTCAGTTTTTTGATCGACTTTATGCTGGAACCAAGTAAGTGAATAGATCTGTCATACCTAACTCCATCATGTGTTACAGACAGCTGCTCCATTGTTTCAGAACCTGGATAGATCCTGTTATCCAGTCCTACAGAAGGAAAGATTTCTATTTAGGGAAACTATTCACCTGAGAGATGTTTTCTGTTGGTGGAGAGGGAGGAGAGGTCTCCTCTGGAATGTTTAGTGAATGCATGGAGAACATCATCCCCACATCCAAGAGGTTTCTGTAGTGTGAGACTCAGTTAAGTGAGTGTTGCAGTGCTATGAAGAAGAAAAGGTGGTTTAATTTCTGTTTGCATTGAGAACAAAAGAGGCAGAAAATTCTAGCTACAGCCACAACACAATGCCTCACATTTACAAGGAAGTGAAAAAAAACGGTTTTGAAACCACCGTGAACTGCACACCAGTGACCTGCAGATAGCTGAGAAACGTCACTCAGTCTGCTGCTTCCCTTAAAGGACTAAAAACATTTTTCACTATGTATTAACAGCTTAACATTTGTTTACCTTATGAATTCATAAGGTTGTTGGGGTTGTTAGCTCATACAGTTTTGAGGTATAAAAGCCCTTATTCTAGTTTGATGTAAAAGCAAGTCTTCAAAACCAAATTCCCGCTTATGGCACCTTATCTAGGTCAACAGAGCCAGCAATGAGGAACAAGGGTGGAGGGGACCAGGCCTTTCCTTCAGAGAGTGGGAAAAGGGGAAATGTAATATATTGTCTCTGGAACATAAGATAGTTGGTTTAGGGAAGGGTGGACATTTACAATTTGCTGGTACTTCTACTGAGTGTGTAATTTTTAGATCAGTAAACTATAAAGCTTTAGTTGCTAGGATCATATCTGAAGTGTTTTGTAATCTTCCTGAGCATTAGTTCAGAGAAGTCAGACGTGAAACACACTGTTATGAATCAAAGTATTTTAAGCAATTGCTTTCGATGTTTGTCAGTTTCCCTTGTGTTTTCAAACAAGCACTTACTAAGAAATTGCACTTGTGAATACTTGTTGTTGTTTTATATCCTCTTGGGAGAATTATATGAAGGGTAATAAATATGTTAGAGGCCGAAACAACTGTTGATAAGGAATTTCAGTTAGTGGGCGAGTTAGTGAGCTCTACAGTTATCTGGTGTAGCTTTGGGGCTTCAAGATCAATGAGTGTTAATCAGTTACCAGAGTGTTTGCATTCAGTAGCTAAATAAATGGTTTTTTTTAATGTCTAAACTTCATGTTTTAAGACTATCGATTCAGTTCTTAGTGAACTAACTTTGTTCACTAGTAAGACCAGATATGCTCTTGAGGAAGCTCCTGTGCTCCTTGAACTCTGTGAGATGGGTTTAAATTCAACTACAGACCACTCATCTTCTCTTAAGAAATTGGCAAATCTGTTTTTTCACTTTTTTTTTTTGACTGACTTCAGCAAATTAGTACAGATAACCATTCTTAAAGAAATTTCTCATATAGCTGTGAAGGCAACCTAAGTTCTCCTGCAGATCCCCCTTCTTGTATACTTTGGTATTTTATCTACAGCATTCCAGTTTACAGGTGACTAGTGAGCAGAGCAGCTGGCATGCAGTGGGCAATACTCCCTGTTTGTTCCTTAGTAAACAGCAATTTCCAGCCCTGCTTTTTTAAGACAATAATTGTATCTTTGTTCTGTGTTTGGAAAGTGCCAAAACCAGCTCTGCCTGTGGCTCCAGTGTGCAATGGAAACACGGAGACCACCAAACCAGTGTAAACCTCTGAAATCTTCCTGTTAGCAATTGCTTCTGAAGTCAGAAACTTCTACACTTTTAAATAATGATTTTGTATTTAGAAATGGAAAAAACCCACACCTGTCAGATTTCAGTGTATCTTCTATACAGTCCATGGTAACTTTATTTTGCTCTTAAATTGGTATCTCAAACTACAGAGGTACAGCCCTGTTGTGTACAATGTCTCTTAACAACTTACTTTCCCCTTTGTGAAGCTGCTGCTGGACTTTCCCAGGCTTGTTTGTGTTTAGTCTTCAGGTCAAATTAATTGTCAGTTAATTACTGGGTCGGGACTGGAGGGTTTCCTGAAGGTTATGGTTTTGTACAGTAAAATGGAGAATTATTCCTTTTCAGCCTAGGACTACTCCTAAATGTATTTCAACCACAGAACTAAAGAGAGTGCTGAATATTCTATAAGATATATAAATTTGAAAACTAGCCCTATACCAACTTGTAGATGATGTAGCATCATGTCCATAGAAAACTAATTTGTATGGTTAGTCTTTTCCCCTGACACAGACAGTAAGGTCCAAGTAACTGAGTTTCTCAAAATGGCATACTCAATACAAGGGTAAAATAAGTTTTGTGCATGGCATAGGAGGTATATTATTAAGTATCAGCAATGTATTAAATTATGTAAATATTTATTGCTACTTATCTTTATGTTGCTTAGTACTTTCTGTTCTGGCTCTGGCAGAGCATATAAGAGTTTACTGAACAGCCAGATCTCTTCTGCTCTGTTACCTGTTGAAGTACCTTGCAGTTAGCTGAGCTATACACAGACTAGAACTCCAGAGAATCTCAGAATACCAGGTTGGAAGGGACAGCAAGGATCATCTGGTCAAACCTTTCATGGCAAAAACACCATCTAGACAAGTTAGTCCAGCACTCAACAAATGTTTGTTTGCATGATTATACACCTTATGTCTCAGTCTAAACTAATGGCTTTGTGATCCTGTTATATGCTGTTTCCATAAAATGTTCCACATTTCAGGTATGAACTAGGAGGAGCTCTGTACTTAGGCTGGGCTGGATCTGTTCTTTATCTGCTTGGTGGGATCTTACTGACCTGTTCATGCAAAGGGAAGAAAAGACAGGATTACAGGTAATCTTCAATTTGTCAGTTGAAATAGTAGTTGTCCATTATATAGTTTTCTATCTGTATGCTGCTCTCTCTCTCCCTCACCCATGGTATAAATCTGTATCCATGTGAAGTACAAACAGGAATTTTACCATGAATTCAGTGCTATGGCAGGGCACAGACCTGTGATGGCAGGGATGCTGCACCCAATGCTTGTACCTCCCAGACCGTGTACTTGATACTGGGTTGTTAATGGTCATCTATAACCAATATTTGGTAATTCTCTGTAGTGCTGATAGTTCTGAGATCTGCATGAGGAAACCGCAGTGAAAGAGTGAACGATATGTTGCCAAAAGAAAAATATTATTTATCACAGAATATAGTGTATTATAATCAGTTTTTTTCTGCACTACCCACTACTATTAAAATACTCCAGCACCATTTAATTTGTGGAAGGTGTAATGGTACTTCCTTCCCAAAGCACATCCAATTGATCATTAGAGAGATATTCTTCTTTTCTTGTTCCTCATGGAAGCATCTTCTTGTGCATCAAATCTTTTCAGATAACATTTCTTGCCTCTGTATTTAACCTTGCCTGGATTTTTTTTCAAGCTTAAATGATTTAACACACACAGAAGGTCCCTTTCTGATTGAGAGGGATGAAATTATTAGAAATACAGAGCTCCATGTCTACCCAGAATAACCCAAATAGCTTGGAGGCTGTAGTGGCTAAGCTGGAGGGGATGGTAACATGGAAGGAAGCAGCATGATCACTGCAGCTCTCTTTAATCTTAGGAAAGCTATGTCAAAACACATAATAAGTGAGAGTGTTCTTTTGATTCTCCATTGCCTAATCTGAAGCCATATAAATTTTATGGCAATATTTCATCAGCCACATTGGACTTTAGATCTTGCTCACCATACTTCAATACAAGGTACTGAATATCTCAAAATAACTTGAAAATCAAGTAAAATTGAGGTATGACATAGAAATTAACATGACAAATGACAGCTGAGGGGGTTGGCTGAATATAGGTCTCTTTTCCCTTCTCCTAATCTTGATTCTTTTATTACAAACTGCAGTTTGCACAAATGTTAAGGTCTAGGTTCTCTTCCATTTTAGGGACTTGATTAAAGAGCCTCGAGGAGGAGCACACACGGGTTAGGGATCTAGAGTGGGTTTCTGTGGCGAGATGGCTGCGCTGCCTGCCAGGGAGCCCATCTCTTTCCTTAACTACAAGACTGATGAGACCAACAGTCCTCTAAATACTGCACCTTTGGGAAGGATGTGGTATGGGTGGGTTGGATACAGACCTAAATGATTAACTTCCCAAGGACCTGAAACTGTGGACCCGTGTGTAATGCCAATTCTTGTGTATCTTTTTTTTTCTTCTTAATTTACAGTTTCAACAAATACGCATATTCAGCAGCCCAGGCAGCTCATCGGCCGCACAATTACACCAAAAACTCTGAGACAATGATAAGCAACAAGGAGTATGTTTAAACTGACCTTTTACATCACTTACAACATTAGTAGGTTATGAACTCAAATGAAGACATGAACTACTTCCACAGTTGTAGTTCCAGGTTGTTATCTTGCATCTTAATTTGGAACGGTACCAGGAGGGATACTGCTCAATGTGACTAGGAATGGTTTTCCAGGAACCGTTTTCAAATGTAAATAAGTTTCTAGAGAAAATGCTGTGATGTCAAATCCTGCACCATGAAGGTTTTCTGTATGCTGAGAAGCCTGGTAAAATTTAACCAGAGTGCACAGTGTGTCCTGACAACCCAGAGCAACTGTATCTATTGCAGCTGACTCAAAAATGCAGAACTGATATGCTGTAGCTGACTGCATGTTAATGCACCTCCTTGTTAGAAATGTATTGTGTATTCATTAATATTTAGCTTCCTACTTCTTTTGTTTAGCAGCTTTAGCTTTTGACAGGAAAAACTTTGTTCCACAGACTGATGGAAATGGATTTTTTGCTGAGTGGTATCCTGGCCATTAATAAGTCTATATACTGTGGCCTCCAAGTCTCATGTTAGACTGAAACTCCTATTATCTATGATAATCGAGATTTAGAAAAGCTACCCAAAAATTCCTACCAGCCACTCACATCCAAATCTGCAGAGGTGCAACAGATTTCTTCTTGGTTGTAATGCAGATACCAAAGACAAACCATACAGTATGAACCAAATACAGCACCTGGTGGGAAAACGCCTTGTGACAACTAAGATGAGAGACCTAATTCTTTATTTGTATATCTTATGTTTTCAGCTTTTAAAATAACCCTATTTTAACTCTGAGCACTCTTTACCTTTGGGAACTTTTGCTGCATCTGAATTACCTAATTAATGTAATTCCCCCATGGCTTTATTCTTTGTTATTGTTCCATCATTAGAATTTCTGCCTTAAACTGCTCCACTGCTGGGAACATGTTTGCCTCGTGTAAGCACTTTGATGAGCTAACTTTGAGCAATGTGGAAGGGAATTTCACACTGACTAACTCTAATATTGATGCTTTGAGCAATGTGGAAGGGAATTTCACACTGCAGGTTCACAGTCCAGTTAATAACTTGCCCCTTTTAAATTACAAATGTATTAACACAGTGTTTTATCTCTACTTTCAACATCTTATGATGAACTTAACTGTAGTGCCATATAGAAGTCTGGTGCAGCTTCCTTGATATCCCAATAGGTAATTACCCAGGGCAACCTGCAGGCAGTCTTAGCAGAAAAGCTTCAGCCATGTTGCTTGCGTACAGACACAACTGACTTGCGAACTTGACACATCAAGGCATGAATCTGCACTGGCAGATCATGCTACGCTTAGTGAGGAGAGCTCAAAGGAATGAATACTGCCAGTATAATTTTTTCCCCTCCAATATTGACTGCTTTCTTAAAAAAATCCTACTTTTTGTCTTTTGGAGAATAATTTCAAAAGCCAAGAAGGCACATGGTAGGAGCTGAACTCCTTTCGAGCCTCTGCATATTACAGCACTTGGATTTTTAGGTAATTCTACAATGGTATCTTGGTCTAGCTGGTTGTGAGGAAAATGTAGAGCTCAGGCAGCAACTGAGCAGTTCCAGGGTCTATGTCTCACCAAAGCTTCTATCAGCTCATGAACATGATTTTTGATCCACGAGGGGAGAGACAAATTCAGACCTTCCTTGGTCTGGCATCAGATCTCTAGTGACGTCACTAGAAAGTTTACTTAAAAACGGAGAGTAAAATCCCTGTGTAGCAATTCAACATTTCTTCAATACATTGTTACAGTCCTTGATGTAATTCTGGAGGAAATAAATGCTGAGAACACGGTGCCTTTCACTGGTTTGTTTACAGTCCTGCCACCCTCTTCATGTTTCTGCTCTTTCTCCTTGCTTACCTGCTCCTTTCCCAGGCACCTTTAGTGGTCATGCTCTGAATGAATTTGGTAAATCATCACCTCAGTTTGAGGAGTAAAGCATTCTATGTATGAGTGATAGATGAAGTGATTATTATTTTTTTTACCCTGTAGCAAGCCTCTGAACTCTTTAAACACCTTCACACATTGCTATTTTTAAGTTCTTTGCTCAGCAGATCAGACTGCTTTGGTATCTGCAAATCTTCTTCGTATCTCTGCAGCTGAGACCAGAATCCTGCATTGGGTTCTGCTACTGGCCTGGCAGTCTTCACAATCTAGAAAGAAGAAAACAGTGTAGAAGCAAGGGAAGGTATCGTGCAAACAGCTTTCTTCTTCTTACATTTTGAGTAGATTTTTTTGGATTTCATTTTGCAATGGAATAATAAACAGGTATTTTGGTGAGCTGACCTCACTGTGCTTACTAAGGCCTCCTGGCATGCAGACCATGTTACAGAATTGATTCATGGGCAAGACAAGGCATAAATAGCAGCTGTTTGCTTTATGTCCCTAACTTCAGTTATCATGACTAAACAAACAACATGGAAAATGTTGACAAAACAGGCAGCTTTGCATATTTTCTACCAGTGCTTAAGGCCCATTTGCATTTGTAATTTTTAAATGAATATATAACTGCTAATAAACAGGCAAGACCACCAAAGTAATTCTGTGAGAAATCAGCCTTACTCATGGCGTTTCTCACCCGAAAGGTGTCTAACTGTACCTCAGGGTGCAAGTACCGTACCTCAAAGGCCTCCTGGAGGGGGAGCCGTCGGTGCCTCATCAGGTAGGCGGTGCAAACGGCACTTGATATCCCAATAGGTAATTACCCAGGGCAACCTGCAGGCAGTCTTAGCAGAAAAGCTTCAGCCATGTTGCTTGCGTACAGACACAACTGACTTGCGAACTTGACACATCAAGGCATGAATCTGCACTGGCAGATCATGCTACGCTTAGTGAGGAGAGCTCAAAGGAATGAATACTGCCAGTATAATTTTTTCCCCTCCAATATTGACTGCTTTCTTAAAAAAATCCTACTTTTTGTCTTTTGGAGAATAATTTCAAAAGCCAAGAAGGCACATGGTAGGAGCTGAACTCCTTTCGAGCCTCTGCATATTACAGCACTTGGATTTTTAGGTAATTCTACAATGGTATCTTGGTCTAGCTGGTTGTGAGGAAAATGTAGAGCTCAGGCAGCAACTGAGCAGTTCCAGGGTCTATGTCTCACCAAAGCTTCTATCAGCTCATGAACATGATTTTTGATCCACGAGGGGAGAGACAAATTCAGACCTTCCTTGGTCTGGCATCAGATCTCTAGTGACGTCACTAGAAAGTTTACTTAAAAACGGAGAGTAAAATCCCTGTGTAGCAATTCAACATTTCTTCAATACATTGTTACAGTCCTTGATGTAATTCTGGAGGAAATAAATGCTGAGAACACGGTGCCTTTCACTGGTTTGTTTACAGTCCTGCCACCCTCTTCATGTTTCTGCTCTTTCTCCTTGCTTACCTGCTCCTTTCCCAGGCACCTTTAGTGGTCATGCTCTGAATGAATTTGGTAAATCATCACCTCAGTTTGAGGAGTAAAGCATTCTATGTATGAGTGATAGATGAAGTGATTATTATTTTTTTTACCCTGTAGCAAGCCTCTGAACTCTTTAAACACCTTCACACATTGCTATTTTTAAGTTCTTTGCTCAGCAGATCAGACTGCTTTGGTATCTGCAAATCTTCTTCGTATCTCTGCAGCTGAGACCAGAATCCTGCATTGGGTTCTGCTACTGGCCTGGCAGTCTTCACAATCTAGAAAGAAGAAAACAGTGTAGAAGCAAGGGAAGGTATCGTGCAAACAGCTTTCTTCTTCTTACATTTTGAGTAGATTTTTTTGGATTTCATTTTGCAATGGAATAATAAACAGGTATTTTGGTGAGCTGACCTCACTGTGCTTACTAAGGCCTCCTGGCATGCAGACCATGTTACAGAATTGATTCATGGGCAAGACAAGGCATAAATAGCAGCTGTTTGCTTTATGTCCCTAACTTCAGTTATCATGACTAAACAAACAACATGGAAAATGTTGACAAAACAGGCAGCTTTGCATATTTTCTACCAGTGCTTAAGGCCCATTTGCATTTGTAATTTTTAAATGAATATATAACTGCTAATAAACAGGCAAGACCACCAAAGTAATTCTGTGAGAAATCAGCCTTACTCATGGCGTTTCTCACCCGAAAGGTGTCTAACTGTACCTCAGGGTGCAAGTACCGTACCTCAAAGGCCTCCTGGAGGGGGAGCCGTCGGTGCCTCATCAGGTAGGCGGTGCAAACGGCAGCCAAAAAAGCCACGCGGGGGCGCCCGGCCGTTCTTACAGTAAACCAGGCACCTCCCCCCGCTCCTCAAGGCCGCCTCGATGGCCCGGCAGCTCTGCTCGAAGTACCGGTGCAGATCTTCAGCCGGGTCGTCCAGCACTGGGATGCGAATGCCCCGCACCTGCTGCAGCGCGGGGAACGGCTGCTGCCTAGTGACATTCACGCAGAAGGTGACTCCCTCCCGCGTCAGCAGGTCCTTGTCACAGGCAGCCCGGGCGTTGCTGATGAGCAGCGAGGGGGTGACCTCGCATAGCTGGGGCATCGGCAGACAAGACGCAGCCGCCACCCTGCCCTGCCCAGCAGCAGAAGCTCCTGGGCCGGCTCCTCCTTCCCATGCCCGGGGCTGCGGCGCAGGCGCAGGCAGCAAGAAGCGCTGATGAACGAGCTGCCCCCCCCACCTGTGCAGGCTGTGCTATATTTATTCCTTCAGGCTTCAGGCAGGTCCTAGTGCCTGCTGGATCCTGGGAGTCACAGTTAAACAGCTAAAAGGTATTGGTTAGCCCACAGATCATTTGTAAACCAATGGGATTTGTACAGCCTCAGTGCCTACAGCAGCTTCTTACAAGCAGCGAAAACATCTGCCTCCAGGATGCTGTTCCTGCACTCACCAATGACACAATATTAATGCAGTATCAATCTGATCTCCCCCGACTCACCTCCAGATCATCTTATTGCCCATAGCCTGCAACAGAAGTGTCTTTTAAGAACCTAGAAAATCATTGACTAGGCTGGCTAGATACGGTACTGCTAATCTTTCTGGACTTAGCAGAAGTGCTGGTGTGATGCCAGAGCAGAGTGTCTCTCATGTATGAGTATGCAGACACGCGTTTGAGCAGTGAAGGACTGGAAGGAACAAAGCCAAGGACTCAGCCAAGGGCATTTCCACATCAGCAGGTGCCAGGTGGGTGCAGCTGGACTGGATGTGGGTTCCAGCCCCTTCCTGAAAGATCAAGTGTGTGCCTGAGCTTTTTGAATGTTTTTCTTTCTGGCCTTGACACAAAAAGGAGCCTGTGACCTATAGTTCCTGCTGGCACAAAACTGAACCTAGACTGTCATGGCAGCTGAGCTCTGAGACACTTTATGAGCTGCTTTTGATACATTACCTTGAGTCCTGCGATCAACCACTTCTGGAATAGGACAGTGCAGAGCCTGAAGCACAAACCTTTCTGCTGCACCAGTTCAGTCTGAGACACTTGCTCAAGATTAAACATCCAGGTCTCTGCGATGGGCTGGATGTCTGCTTTGCCTGCTGGTAACCCTGCCAACAGCTGCACTAGAACAAGGCTGTAGTAAATAATTAGCACAACACTTTGTAATGACAAATACCAAGGGTATTTCTGCTTCCTTGTACTATTATGCCATGACTTTTTGTGCACCAGTAGGAGACAAAGAACATTCAGCATACTTGCTTTGAAGATTCAAGTCGGGTTCACCCTGTTTCCACACACATTACCTCAAGTCCAACCCTCACAATTGTTCCTCCAGATGACACAGAGTTGACTACTAGGACCACCATTGGCATCAGCCCACTACTGGGGCTGAAAGCAAGCTTTTGTTCCTCAGGACTCCTGGCCTGGCCTTTACCTGTGCCTCAACAAGGAAAAAGAAAGAAAACTCCAAACTCTGCTTACATCAAGAAGAAAGACTACCCTGTAAATACAGACTTAAGTCTCCAGCCTTTTTATTTATACAAGGATTCAAAGAACATTTTTCAACTTTAGATAAACAGTGCAAGAGAGTTACAAGTACCTTGGTAACAGAAAGAAATTGATAACTGTCTGGCTATGCCAATAAGTGAAATAATTCTTACTCCTGCAGATAGAAATGCATTTAAAGCAAAGGTGGAGTTTAGATATTTTGCTATACCTGAGCCCCTACCAAGCCCACTGGAAAACAACAGGCAGTTTGTCATTTGTAAATGTTAAATAGCTGCGTTCTCAAAGCCTTTTGAGACCCTCGCCCTCAGTTAAAACATACATGTTATGGCACAAAAGAGCAGGCTGAAAGACAGAGACATTTGGAAATCCAGTATTTCTGGTTTGCCCCTTCCCAGGGGTTCTTCTGATTATCTCTTCCTAGACCACTACACCCTGCCACACCACTGTGAAGTACAAGGTCTTTTCAAACCAGAAGGTCACAAATCACCATCTCAGTAACATCCCAGCAGATGCTCCCCAGAGCTCTCCATTCAGGTAACCAACCACAGCAGCCATGAGCCCCTGCTGTGGCTGCAGCTCTCAGCTCATCACCACCATGGGCTGGGGAGGTTTGTCACAAGGTTTTCAAGCAGGTGGTAGCCCAGGAAATGTCATTTATAAGCACTGAAAGGCCCCAGGCTCTGTGCCAGCCTGAGCACAGGCTCAGGGCTTGCATGGAGCTGGGCTGACTTCAGTTTGTTCAGCTGTGCCAACAGTTGTCCAGCTGTCAGGTAACTACGGTTTGCTTTAGAGTGACACCCCACCCTGGGGGTACTTGGCCATCTTGGCTTCCCAGCAGAAGGTGGCACAGCCAAGCGCTGCCCTGGGCCACCAAATTGCAGCATGTTGGGGACACCACTTCAGGGACAGGAAGAGAACAGAAAAACTGAACAACTGGGAACTGACAAAAAAGCAGCAGCAGAGGCAGACCATTTGAAAAAGGAAATAAATGAAACAAACCCAGTAGCCCCAGGGCCAAGAGGGAGCAAACACCAGCATCACAGGTCTCCTGTCAAAGAAGGGGAAGAGCCCTGGCACAGCCCCCACCTGCCCCAGACCTTGGACTCTGAGCCCCAGGAGGAACGAGGGGCCCAGAGGGACACTGAAGTGGGAGCTCAACCCCAGCCAAAGTGGGGAGGCATCACGAAGGGAACAGTTTTTACTGTATCCTTGAGAAATTGCCTTAATTTGGACTATCAGGTTCTATTATTGTAATTGGACCAGTAATTTGGGTTACTAAATTGTTAAAATATTAACTGGACAATCATTAAATACTTGATTTCACATTTAAGGTGTGTGTTCCTCCTGGGGCCTGTAAGCAGCTTTTGAGGGTAACAGACTGACAGCAAACACTAACTGCACAGAAATGGAAACAACAAGGACTTTCACTCTTCCATTTTGCAAAGCAAAACACTGACTCAGCATCCAGGTGTTTAAAATCCAATCCAACCCAAATGGTTTTTGAAGAACAAATGTTTTAATGCCTCCTCCTCCTTTCAATTATTTATTTATTTACTTAGCTTTGGGTGTGAATTTTCTGCAGGACTAGCTGTGGGTTGTTACTGAAGGCTACATTGGTATTGGTATTTCTGGTTTAAAAAAAAAAAAAAAAAAGGAAAAACCAAAAGACAGGAACTCCATAGAGCAGTAAAAGTAACCTGGAACTTGCTACATTTCTAGAAGTAAATAAATCTGTATAAATCCATTAGCTGTATTTATCCAATCCTGGGTTCTGATGGGTCTAGCGGTGTTAGTCCTTTAGCCAACATCCTGCACCTTGGCTTTAATTTCTGAAACCGTACCAGCTTCCATCAGTTTTAACCTTACAAGAAGGTGAGTACAAGGCAGAAAGAATACCAAGCAGAAACATTAGTCACAGTGACCTGGAGAAGCCAGTGAAAGCTGCCCTAAAATCTCTGCCTTGTTTGAGGCACTGTCAGTGTCATTACCAGGCCCCAGGCAGGACTCCAGCCCCAGGGAGGGTGGGTGACCAGCTGCCCCCTGCACCAGCTTTTGCCATTACCTTGCTCATGTTCTTGTGTTCCCTTAAATTGCACATTCTAGAAACTGCTAATGTTAAAAATGTTGTGGAGGTTTTTTTCCCCCCCTTTCTTAAAAAACAGCCAAACCCCAACCCCATAACATTTGCTCAGCCCAAAGACATGTCTCCTCTGGCAGGACAGAGGAGAAATGCTCTGACGTGCTGTGCAGACCAGTAGATTATGAGATAATTCCACCTCTGCCCTCCCTCTTGCCCACAGAACAAACATTTGAAACTCACACCCCCCTGTATGAATGAAGCCCAACCCCTGGGCATGCTCTTGGCCCAACCAGTCACAGTGGCTGTGTTCTACCTGTAGCATCTGCTAAACCTACTTCTCCAGCTTATGCCTGCTGAACCTGTCAGGCCTTCTGGAAGCCCCAAAGCACACAGCCCTAAAAGCACAGACACTCCTACAGCTACGTGAGGATATTTTTATCTTTCACCACCCCCAGTTTCAAAATCTGGCAAAGAGCCTACCCCACCAAGCACTTCAAGGTTAGGGCACCCACCAGTGTGACCCAGCAGCTGGTGCATGGTGGGATGGGGCAGCACAGGGTGAACCTTGCCCTTCCCTGAGCCCAAATGAAGCTGCTGGCAGGTGTCTCATCTGCCCTCTCACCCTGTCCCTGCAGAGGCCAGGAAAGGTGCACAGAAGGATAGCATGCAGGAATTAACTTAAAAACCTACAATGCAACAGGAACAAACATCAAAAAGAAAGAAGTATCCCAAACAAACATGTCCCATCTTCACATGCCTCCTGGCAGGTGCTGCCTTGAGTCAGTCTCCTGGGCAAAGACAGCCCAGGGCTCATTGCTGTCAGCCCCTCTGCTCTAAGGCAGCTGCCTGGAGATCATACCTGCAGGTGCCTGGTGTGAGCTCCCACAACCAGTCTCCATGCTCCAGATAGTAACAAGTCCCTGGTCTTTTTACTAATGAAAAAAAGGGATCCACTGCTGGGGCCAGAGGAGGAGAAGGCAGCACAGCTATGTCAGGCAGAGAATCCCACTCTGCCTAGTTTCATCTCTCTGTTACCTGTGACGGTACTGCACTGCAGGTAGAAACTGGACCATTATTACTTGGGTAGAAAATGGCTTTCCAACTAGCATGCAAAGAAAGAATACCCCAAACCCCAACCCCTAACACTCATTCCCAGTCACTTAGATGTAGACCTACATTTCAAATTGTTATCAGCTACAAGCTCTAGTCAATAAACCCACTTGTGACCTTTCCAAAGGAAAAGGGAGTTCTGCGCTTTTTGGGTCCAACAGCCACTGCCAAACTGTTTCAGTTCAACCCACCAAACCTGCTCACGCTCCACCTATGCCACTGGATGTGAAAGGCCATCTCTGCCTGCCTAGGAAGTAGAGAGGAAAAGCCCAAAGGAGCCCCTGGATGCAGCACTGAAGCCACGCTGAAGATCCCAGTCTCTCCGCCCCAGAGAGCGGCGCCGTGTGCTCTGGCAGCCACAGGGTGCAGCAGCGCCGGGGTAACAAGATCAGGGCAATTGCATATTCCACTGGAGGCAGCAGATAAGCTGCCCTCGGAGGGGCCCCCGGGTTCCCCCTGAGGCCTCTCTGCAAAGGCTTGTTACAGCCCCCAGAGTCAGTTTGTGGCAATAAAAGTAAAACAATGAGGTACGGAAAGAAGGGCCCAGCTTTGGGGAAGAGACCAAGAAAGAAGAGAACAGCTCGAGCACTGCCAGAAATAGCAAACAACTTAAACCTTTTTCTCCTTCCTACCTTTTTTTTTTTTCCCTTTTCTTTTCCTTTTTTTTTTTTTTGCCAAGGTGAATTAAATATGTCCTTTTGTTGGTTGGTTGATTTTGGCAAAGTGAAGCCCTCGGCCGCAGTCTCTTTCCTGGCTGTGCGAGTGAGTTACCGCCACAACTGCTGCGTGGCAGTGAAAGCCACCAAAAGGAGGAGGAAGGCAGAAGGCAAAGATGTGCTGCTGGCCCCATTGATGCCGTGTCCAGACTGCTTAGGAATAGCGTGTGTTTCTGGCCGCCTGGTGCTGGGGCTCTTAGAAAGTCTTTTGCCACAGACATCATCAGGACAGCTGTCACCACTCCCAGAGCCACTCATGTCGTCACCTGCTCAGAGACAAACATGGGGTGAGCCACCAGCCACTCTTCATTTGGTGGGCAATGTCCCTGA